TCCAATCATACACTGGCCTTTTAAGTCAGTTATATGTATTTTTTTAACTTTTAAAAAAATTATATTTTGAGTTCTTGGAAATAGTAAAACCCAACAGGTACTATAGGACATTGCTTTCAATATGTCTGTCTGTATATTTCCTGGTTACTTTGTCAATTTGTTCCCCAAATACTCAAAATCTATCTTTATATTGTCTGTACTTCTATCTCTCTGCTTAAAATAAAAAAGTAAACAATATTTTAAGTAACACAAAAAGCAACAATTTATTCCTGGCTATTGTTGTACCAAAGTTGACTTTTTTGCCACGAGTTGCAAAAAAAGTACTAACAAACAACTGGTAAATTTAAAAAGCATTGCATTTACCACAAAACCACAGCAATATTTGAGAAAAAAAAAATTGAAAAAAAAATCCAACTATTAAAGTTCTTCAATAAAGAGACAAACTCATTGAGTTATGGTTTCTGTAAAACTTGATTCATATTAAGTTTACTGCAGGATATAGTTTGGTTGTTTTGAGTTCTTAACTTGGAAAAAAAAGCTTGTATACAAGATATGTGTAGTCGATTGAGTCGAGATTTCATTAAATCCGGTAAAAACTTAAAATCCATATACAAATCTGTTTCATATGCCTTATTATTACTTATAATGCCTCACTTTGTTCAAGAGAGAGAAATGGAGAGAGAAAAAAAAAAACAACAAACCCATTCAATGACAAAATAATTGTTCTTGTTTCCCCAGAACTACTTTCCACTGAGAATATCTTAGCTCATTACAAACCAGCTGAGGGCAGTATTAATTAACGCTCACTGTTATTCTTTTGTGATTCTCTTCTCATAATTGGATATTTTATATTTAGGCCAAAAACTAAATATACATTATGTGATATGTTGTTATGGCCCAAAGCAAGTTATTTTATCTTATCTCTTTGTAAGTGTGTAGGTAGATTGTGTAAGTCATAGACATTTTCTCCGTCAATACATACAAACGAAATACGAACATACAAAGTACTATTTCATAGATCTCAATCGTCTTCGGGCTATGTACAATAAATTATGTGAAAGTAAAAAAAAAGTTCACTGCGGCAGACACAATTACGTTTCACAATTACATCGAATTCCGCAGTAGTGCAAATAGACATAAGCATAATTGTGCTGGCATAACATTCCAAGTGGTGTCAAAATAACATCTTTGGGGCATATTACAACATCTGCGGTTATGAAATATACAATAGGACGATAAGTGAGAGGTTTGTTGAAGATGAGAGGAATAACACTTGCAATCATATTTTGGGGAAAGTAAAATCTTCATATTCATAAAATTCTAAAAACTGAGTGATTGCTTACCTTATCTACGTCTAGAAGATACAGCTATGGCTAGAGTCTTGAAACTTTAGGATAAGGTTGGGTTTTTTTAAATTCTCATTAAAAATTACTGAGAAATACTAAAAATTTTTTTGACTAAAAAAATATATTTAAGGGTTAGAATTTTTAAATGTCAACAGCAACGATCACAGAAATGCATTTCCAAACATTACCGGGGGGAGCCGAAGAAGAAAATTAAGTTTACAATATAAAATTTACAAAAAAGGGACACAGCAATTGTTATTCGGGAAGAGGCCTAACGTTCCAAGCCTTCATTATATAGACGACCACTATTGATGCGAGGCTTAGATTAATGCTTCCAAGTACTACAAAAAATTGTGTTTTCGAGCGAAATGAGCGAAAATTCTTTTGAATGAAAGTAAAAAATGGCGGAAATAACATCAAATTTTAAAATAAGTTTAGATTTTTTTTCGAATTGGTCACCTTTGGCACGAATTATGGCCTTCAAACGGCCAATGAAACCGTCACACGGTGCCCGAATGTTGCTCTGCGGTATTTTGGCCCATTTTCGGCGAAGCGCTTGCCAACCTTGCTTTCCAAAATACTCCAGACACAATAATCCATCGGATTGGTATCTGGAGATTTTGGTGGTCATTGTGCGCTGGAAATGGAAATGAAGCGAGGAACCTCATTTTGTAAGCATTCTTTGGTGGTGTGAGCTGAGTGCGATGGTGCTGAATTCTGTTGGAATGTCCAAAGACTTCGGCCAAAATGTTTGCGTACCCAAGGCTTTAATACATCCTCCAGAATATTTTCGAGATAATATTCGACATTTTTTCTGATGCCGAGCGGAGGGCGACCATCGGCTGGCATACACCATCACCATGGCCGGCGCTTGAGTTCTGGTGGCCAACCGAAGGTGCACATCTACATCGGCATCTACGTAGAAGTCAGAATTGACCTGTTCGTCTATTTGTAATTTCGCCGTAATTGAAAATTTTCGCGGTTTAATGGAAAATTTGACTGTTGTTTAACACAAATATTATGGTCTATTTCTCCCACTAAATATTACCCGATGACCATCAAAATTGGAAGGCTTCTGACCAGCCCTAAGCTCTAGCCACATGCTAACTCAAGCTTCGACTGGTCCATAATTGCAATCTATAGAGCAACTGCAAAATCATTATTTTTTTTTTTGTTAGTTTTGGTCCATTGCAACCCCTTAGTATTATGCGATCATTTCCAAAAGCAATAGGCTTCTATTCTGACCATAACCCCACCTCCGTTCTAAATTCCTTGAAGATCGGGCCATAATTGCGAGCTGTAAAGTGATTACAAATTAACATGGATATACGGACGTGCGGACATACACAGCTAGATCGACTCAGCTCGGCGAGATAGGAAGATCCATATATACTTTCCTATGTGGGAAACCTATAATACCCCCAACACATAGTGTTGTATATCAAATTGCAGCTGCAGAAATTGGGGCCAAAACGAAATCAGGAGGTACATCTATGTGGGCTGTATCTAAATGTGGGCCAATATACAAATTTTTTTTTGATCACGAACATATATACCTTATAGAGTCTCCGAGAAATATTTTCAAATGTGATTCGGAATGGTAACAATAATATAGCTTCCATGTTATGGTGAAGGGATAAAATTAAAAATTCCCATCTTTACTTTTTTTTGTGAATAAAAAAATATACACTGCATTCTTAATTTCCCTCTAGCATTGGAAAATTTTAAATTGTTTCTTAAAACAAAAAACTGTAAATTAATATTTTTTTGTTTTTTTTTTTTCTATTCTTTTACCAACTCTAATTGTTCAAAACAATTTCGTATAAACTTACACAAATATAAATGTCATATCCCTTTATATTGCTATTGTGTTATCTCAAATATTCTAAAAATAATTGCTTTCATCTCATATTTCAAATCGTTTTTCTTTTTTTTTTTTTAATTTTAAAATATTCTAATGAATTCTGTCTACAATTTATGAAATTCATTATTCGTATTTTAAATATTTTTCATAGAATTTTAAATAAATACATAACATTTTATTGAATTGTTTAAATTTGAACTCAAACACACATACACGAATATGATATCCAACAGAGAGAGTGTGTGTTAGTGTGTGTGAATGAATGTTTGTCTCTGTAATATATTCCACAATGATTTGTATATAATTTGTTATTCAACAAATATTTATAGGACAAATGTTAACAGATATTTGCATGTATGCGAGCGAATATGTGTGTGTACATATGTCCGGACATAGTATAACACAGGCAGATATTAACATGGCGCCAAGTCATAGGGGTTCCCAATATAATGTGTCTATTGTTAAATTTAATAATGGTAAACCATTGCAAAAACAAAAAAAAGACAACACCAAAAAATGATGCGATAGAATAATAGAAAATAATACTAAATTATTTTCCAAACTAACCAACCAACCTCATTGGCTGTTAACCGAATAAATACGACCTCAATTGAAATTTGAGAACATGTGTATATTGAGTGTGTGCTTCTGTATTTTGTATCAGTTAAAATTATGATTTTGTTTATGCAACAAAAAAAATCACATACTCTCACACATACACACACATGTAAATCTTTTATATGCATAAATAATGAACAATTTATTGTTATAAGTAAAAAAGTACAAACATTCTCGTTATAACCACCAAAAATGCCAATGGCTGAAATTGTCTGACTGGGCCATTCTCATGTAATGCCAAAACAACGGGAAGTAATTGTTTTGCACAATAAATTTACACAGCGTGAGCACATCAAATTTTATTTATGACAATTTATGGTAGTATTACAAATTTATGGATAATATTAATAAATATTTAAATGGAAAATCTATGCAAAATGATCAATACATAAATATGTATATGAAGCAAAAAAAAAAAAAAAAAAATAAATAAATAAATAATAATGGAAAGCAAAAAAGTTCAATATTGAAAAAAGGAGTTGGATTGTCCGGTCCTTGTCCTTTGATTTAAATATATTATTACTTGTTTGATGGTTATTCAAAATGTTAACCCTCACCCCATGAATGTACCGAAAGTGTGGGATAATATTTCGTAGCTGAAAATCCATTAAAAATTCTGTTAAAATCCTAAAATTACCGAATACTTACCTCATAGGAATGAAAAATATCATTCCCTTTTGTGTCAATTTTGCAAATCCCAATATTTATTGCCTGTGCTAAATTAGGTGCAACAAGTAAAAAAGCTGTAAAAGCCGGGCCGAACTTTTAATACCCTCCACCATTTGGTACAAATTTGGCAATTTCAAAAAAAAAAAAAAAAAATAATAATAATAAATAACAATAAAATCCGTTAAAAATTCTGTTAAAATATTAAAAATACCGAATGCCTATACGACGACTTATACCTGCATACGCAACATTTGTCATAAGCCTGCACAGAAAATTTTCTGGAATAGGCTCTAGTATCCATTACGAACTTCAAATACAAAATTTGAAATAATTCCGGTAAATAATGTCGCTAAAATCATCAAAATACTGACAGCCTGTTCCACGATATCGAAAGAACACGTTCGTACAAATTTTTCACGACAAACAGCTGATTTCCGTTTCACTAAAATCCATCAGAACGAAAATTTGCACGAAAATCAAAGCGAACGAAAACGTAAGCGTTTCATGCGAACACAAATGTCAAAATCAGTCACTTGTGTGTTTGCTGTCGAATGATAAAAATTAAGGAAAACTGTTTTAACATAAACAATGCTTGATTGAAAATGGAAAGAAAAATGTAAGTAAAAATAATAAATGCAATTTAATCTGTGAACAACAAATATATATTTTTTTATTTTCTCAATTCCAGCACGAAAAAACTACACAGCTGCGGGCACAAGCTGAGTATATGGAGGAGAATCCTAAGTTCTCCAGAGGAGTGCCAATTTTTGGAAGCAGCAGGCAATCCCTTGAAGACCAATGGAAGAAATTAGTTTTTAAATTAAATACCATGGGTCCTTCACAAACCTAAAAAAATTCATTTTTTATTATTTCAAAAAAGTAAAAATACAATCATACTTACTGGTTGTTAGGTACTTCAAATAAATTCGAAGCATCTCTTAAATGCCTCCGTGGCACATTTTGAACCTCCTCCTCATCATCCATAAAAATAGGGCTACAGAAATATTCATTTTTTTTTTATTTTTTAAGAACACAAATAGTTTGAACACAATCACTAGAATTTTTTTTTTGTTTGTTTACAACTGAACTGTCAGTTGAGACAGAGCCACTGCTGCTTTTTCGCGTTTAAATTAGACATTTGGCGCTTTTTTTTGCCTTATTTCGCGATTAATTTTTCCAATTAATATTTAGCAACACTGAATGACGTAAGGATATGCGAAAGAAAGAACGAAAGTTAGTGGAACGCATTCTTATACGAAAGTGAGTGAGTAGCCTTCGTTCGCACAAATTTTCTTTCGAGATCGTGGAACAGGCTGTGAATATCAGGACGTACCGTTTTATAGGGGCTATACGAAGACGTGGACCAGCACAGACAATTTTCTTTCTTAGGCTGTAGTATCCATTACGAACTTCAAATACCAAATGTCAAACAATTCCGGTGAATAATGACGCTAAAATCATCAAAATACCGAAAATCGGGAGTTATCGTTATATGGGGGCTATACAAAGACAAGGACCTGCACAGACAATCTCCTGTCATAGGCTGTAGTATCTATTGCGAACCTCAAATACCAAATGTCAAACAATTCCGGTGAATAATGTCGCTAAAATCATCTATATACCGAAAATCGGGAGTTATATGGGGGCTATGCGAAGACGTGGACCTGGACTTACAATCTCCTGTCATGGGCTGTAGTATCCATTACGAACACCATATTCTTGATTTGAAACAATTGCGGTGAATAATGTCGCTGAAATCATCAAAATACCGAATATCGGGAGATACCGCTATATGGGGGCTATACCAAAACGTGGACCTACATGGCCCATTTGCAGTACCAAAAGTCCTGCAGACATAGTATACATTTGAGTAAAATTTTATCAATCTACTTCATTTCGTTCGGAAGCTAGAGTGATTTCCACAGAGGGACAGACGGACGATCATTGCTAAATCGACATAGAATTTTATGCTGATTAGGAATATATATACTTTGTGGGGTCTAAAATGTATATTTCGAGGTGTTACAAACGGACTGACAAACTTAATATACCCTCCATACTATGGTGAAGGGTATAATAAAATACAATTTGTCACTATAATTAAATATAGTAGGGCTGTTTGAAATGTTATGACATTTTGAAAGAGGGTCGGTTTTGGTACGTAGGTGTGTGATAAAGTTATGTTTTTTGAAATTCGTACTAAAAAGTTACAAATAGTACAGAAATTTAATACCTTGCATTGAACAAACGGATTCATCTAGAGCTCTGATATTTGGGATGAGAGTCACTGATGGAGTGCAGGATAGATGTGTATAAGAGTTTCTGGAAATTCGAACATTAAGGTTACAAAAGTTCTAAAATGTTACTAAACCTCTAAAATGGTACCATTTGTTATTATGTGAACGGATAGAGTTAAATCAATTGGGAATCAATGTTGGAAAGTAAGTTTGATGTACGAATGTATTTTTGGAAATGTGTACAAGTGTGGAAATAGTACTAAATTTGGTACAGTGTGGTTTAGGCTGAACGGATTAAGCTGGAATTCTAAAATTTTGTATTGGGGTCCCGGTTGGTGGTAAATTTGTGTCATAGAGGATGTTTTGGAAATGTTAACTGCAAGGGCTAAAGTACTAATCTGGTGCTTAAAATCTGAAATTTCATATAAAGGCATTTTCATGGTTAGCGTGGACCTATGGAGGTGGTTTCGGAAATGTGTACTATTTCGTACGAAAAGCACTAAATGCTACTATATCCTGTAATGAGTGAATTGTTAGAGGTAAAGTTCTGAAATTTGATATTTAGATTAACGATGGTGCGTTTGAGATTTGGTGGTGGTTTGGAAATTTGTCCTATATTTGTACAGAAAATTACTAAATAGTACTAAATTTGGAATTGGGTAAAGGGATAGGACTAGAAACTTTAAATTTGATATTTTGGTCTCAGTTGGTACCTGAATTGAGAAATGGGAGTGGTTTTGAAAATGTTTAGTACAATTGTACGGAAAATACTAAATAGTAAAATTGCGGTATAGGGTTGAGGAATAGAACTAAAATAATAATATTTGACATTGATGCCTCTGTTGGTATCTGGAATTCAAATATGACGGTTGTTTTTGAAATGTGGACTATATTGTACGAAATGTACTAAGTTGTACTAAATTAGGTATTGAATGAAATAATAGAGCTGATATCCTGAAATTTGATACAGATGTCATTGTTGGTGTAATTTATAATTAATTAAGGTATGGAGGTAGTTTTGGAAATGTGTACTATAATTGCTTGAAAATTACAAAACGGTACTAAATTTGGTATTGGGTGAAGAGACCGAGCTGGAATCCTCGAATTCGATATGGTGGTATCTGTTGGTATCTAGAAGTGAGATATGGAGGTGCATTTTGGAAATAATTGTTCAAAAAGTACTAAGTGGTACTAAATTAAGTATTGTGATAAGTGTTGGCATCTAGTATTGATATATTGAGGTGGTTATAGACAAGTGTAATTCAATTGTACGAAAAGTACTAAATTTTGGTATTGGGTGAAGGAATAGACCTGAAATCCCGATTATTTTTATTTATTATTATTATTATTATTATTATTATTATTATTATTATTATTATTATTATATATTATTATTATTATTACTATTATTATTATTATTATTATTATTATTATTATTATTATTATTATTATATTATTATTATTATTATTATTATTATTATTATTATATTATTATTATTATTATTATTATTATTATTATTATTATTATTATTATTATTATTATTATTATTATTATTATTATTATTATTATTATTATTATTATTATTATTATATTATTATTATTATTATTATATTATTATTATTATTATTACTATTATTGTTATTATTATTATTTTTATTTATTTATTTTTTGTTTGAAAATTATTTGTTAAGACCTTAGGTATATTTTAGTTGTTTGTTTCCTCGAAATTATAATGTTTTGATATCTGTAGACCAAAGTCCGAAAGAAAGCAAATTTAAAAAATATTAGCCGGTTTGGTGGCAGATTATACCCTTAGCCAATGTTAGTTTTTATGATTATTCAAATTGGTGACTCTTTATGAGGAAGGTTCCCGTGGGGGTACCATAAGGACAGGGCCGATATATTCCATTTTCACACCACATCTTGAGCTAGCTTTTGTATTGGAATATGTGAAGTTTAAAATGAATGGTTTTGGTTATTCAAAATGTATCCAAATTTTGCTACCAGAAGTAATGGTTCGATACATATCATCAATTAACCAGATTATGAGAAATATTAGCATGTGCCGAATTTAAAAGGTATCGGATACTCATTCCGCACCTTAGGAGCTTCATGGTAATTCAACATTTTTACCCGTTGTGGGAGGGGTACCACAATTAGTTCTTCATACCAGATCTTGTGTTGGTAAAAAAATTGAAATGTGCCAAATTCGAAGACAATCGGAATCTTATTCCACATATGAACCTTTCGTGGGGGTGGTACATGGTTGAGTGGACCGATATTGTCCATTTTCACACCTGATCTAGCATAGCTCTTAATGTCCGGAAACGGATTTGATCTAAAGAGGCCTATAACCGTTATTTACATGCGTCTCGTTTTGTAGCCATATGGCTGAGAGTATTATTATAAAAAAAAAAAATTTCGACCTCGAAGATGAAGTTTAGAGAGATATATCAAAATCACCAAACGGAGTTGTAGATATGAACAGGGCAAAATGATTGGACATCATGGCCTCAAGTTTTTGGGCCATAATCACTAAAATTCAAGTGGTGGCAAAAGACGCTGAAACACAAGTTTTCTTGTCTTCCATCACGCTCCTATGTAAGAATATATTTACTTTTTATACCCTACACCACAAAGTGGTAAGGGTATTATGTCTGTACATTTGTTTGTTACTGTCTATGTATTTTTGTAAACAAAATGCAGGTCGCATTTATTATTCGATTGAGATAAATTTTTCTAAATAACATTTATTTGGTTCAAGGACGAACCTTTTTGTAATTGGTGAAACTCGGTTCAAACTTAGATATAGCTCCCATATATATCTTTATCCGATTTTAGGTTTCTTGTGCACCAAATGGCTAATATCAGTGTGAATTTTGCTAAATCCGACCAATTAAGCCTACAAGCATGTGCTTCAAATTTAGTAAAAATCGGTTCAGATATAGCTCTAGCTTCATATATATGTTTCATCCGATGTGGTGTTTAAGACCCTCAAATTCGTAAAATGCACGATAGAAGAATAATATTTGGTACCAGATACAGCCAAGAAATAGTTGTTTTCAATTTTATAAAGATCGGTTCAGATTTGGATGTAGCTCCCATAACATTATCCGATTTCAGGTTTATTGTGCACCAAATGGCTAATATTATTTGCACTTCAGCCGAATTTAGCATAGAAGCAAAAATTTCAAATTTGCTTCCATATATATATTTCATCCGATTTGGTGTTTAAATCTCCAACTTTCGGAATATGCACTCTACTATAGTCATATTTTGTACCGATATCTCATAGAGTTCCGAAATGTCCAATATAAACCTGTCTTTTGCGAGATTTCTACTAAATATGTATAGCTTTACTTACTGGTTCATTACTAAAATACTACTCACTGTGTAATTTAAATTAAAAAAAAAAAAACTGTCTACCTTGTTAGTAAAAATATGAGGTGTGAATACCATATAAAATCGCATACCCCATGAAATTTAAAACTCGTTATATTTTGATTTCATTTTTGTTTTATTTTGTTTTTTTCTTTACAAGAAACTATTACAACATTCATATTTTTCAAATCTACATGACCATTATTACATTCACTTTAGCATTTTCAAATCATTAAATATAAACAATGTAAGTGATATATTAAATTACAAACTTTGTTACGACAAGTGTTG